AAGACGCACGCCATTTTCCAAAGGTACTTTTGAAAAAATATTTTTCAATAGCTTTCTAATCTAAAATAAAGTACTGTAATTTTCATACAATTGGTGTGTAAAATATATTTATGTAAATATTCAAGTATATAATATTCAAGAACAATCAACAACAACATTCAGTAGCGCGTTATCCTATGGGCAAAAAGGGTAATTTCCTTGGGTCTCCATAAACAGTGGGTCACGTTAAAAATGAACACCGATACCAGCGCGGGAATTACTCTCAAAATCCCCTGAACAAAACTGTTTGAAGTCAACACTGTACATGAGACCCTCCAAATCAAATTTACCCAGGGCCCCACAAATCTATAACGCGTCACTGACAACATTGCAACAACTATGTATAATATTTCCGAAACAAAAAGAAACATATATTTGCCGGCATATAAAGCGCACTCCATTTTCAGACAGTATTTTTCGGCTAAGAAAAGTGCATCTTATACGACTGCAAATATAGTATATTGTAATTTTTGGTTTGTAAGAGTAAGAAAGAAAATATATGAAAAGAAGGAAATAAATTAATCTATTACCAACAAAGTTAATTTTATTTTTCTCCACAGCTGAGATTCTGAATGTATTAAAGACTTTAAAACAATTACAATATAATGAATTACATTGGAATCTAATTTTTGATGTTTTAAATCTAAAAACGCTTTGGCAAATTTTTGTTCAGTTTTATTTATTGGACTTAAAATAATTTAGAGATTTAAAATTGTTCTTTTTATTGCCAAATAAATAAATGTCCAAGACAAAGAAATGACTATTATCATAATTTATGAGTCTCACATATATAAATATCTTAAGTATATTTTGATATAACCATAGACGGACATCTGATTGATATTATAGTTATTTTAAGATATAATAAACACATTTAAATATAATTTGAAATAATTTTAAAAGAACTAATAATCACGAAAAATATTTAATAAGAAAAAATCTACAAGTGATCGGTGAATGTTGAATCGTGACGTCATCTTATTGCTGCATTAAAAATGTTTACGTGAGAAAGGCTATCTCTGTAGGAATGAAAACAACGCGAAAGAAACGGATTTCGGCAAATGAATGAAAGAGGACCGTCCGAAAAAAATGCAAAAACGAGATGGAAAGGCTGAAGAGTTGCCGAGGAGAGTGAATAAATTAGCTAGTAATGTAAGAAATTACGAAAGACAACCCAGGCAACATTGTTCCTCTTCTGGAGTATTGATGGTTGGACCCAATTTTAAAGTAGGGAAAAAAATCGGTTGCGGAAATTTCGGAGAATTAAGACTCGGTATGTTTATGTAATTGATTTAATTTCGAATATTTAATTGCCGCCAATCTCTATAAAATAATCAATTTCAGTTACGTGTTAATGTTTGCTACATCGCTTTACATTACTACCTATTTTCTTTTATGCACGTATATTAAACAGTAAAATCGGTTTGAATAATTGAAAAATTATATATTTGTTCTCTGCCACATCGAGTGAATAATTAAAAGTTATGATGATCTGAGAATACTCAGAATAAATAATTTCTAAGGAAATGATCATAGATTTTTGGTGAGTGAGATATGAATAATACTATTGAATACATTCTCAGAAGTAGCTTGTTAATTTGAATTCACCTAAATTATGATTTTAAAAACATATCCAGAGTTATCCACATCTAATAAATATAGTAATAGTGTTTCAAGTGAAAAACATTCAAAAATAACATGCAAATATTAATGTTGAATAGGTTACTAAAATATGAATATTTTTATTACTATATTATTAAATGTTAAGCAAGTTTATTCCTATAAATTATAATTTACAGTTTATATTTTCATTATATTATTTTGAACCATTAAAGTTTTTATATTCTAAATTATTTTAGTTTGATTTTGATGTTTTAGAGATATATTGGTGTATTTAGTGTTATTTTGTTAATATAAATTTAAATGTGGACGATTGCATCTCTAGAATAGAAAAATTATATCAGTTTTAATAATTTATATTGAAATGTTTTGCTTTTTTATTATTATAGTAATTACTCATTTGAATGGAATCAGACAGTTGCTGCATATCTTAATATAAAGAGTAACTATCTTAATCATCAGTTTTACTAAATTAATATCACATAATAAGCATAAATAATGAGGAAATTTTAGTACTTTCATTTTTTTTTTAAATTGTTATTGAATTAATTGTGGCAATGAGCTTTTCATTCAGTATTCTAATCTATGCTGACTTAAGATATTACAAAGTTTTATTTAACCTTAAAAACAAAATTAGCCTGTAACTGGCTCTGTAAAATCATATAAATTTACAAAATTATAAACTGACAGATTAAGGATATACTGTATTTAACTAATTCAATACACTATATCACTATTCAATATCTATTAAGCCTGCTTTACTAAGAAAGGCTGTTAATTTCTATTTATCTGATATATTAATGAGTAAAAAAAACTCACCACTCACCACACTTATATATCAAACATGTACACTGAACCAATATAATGTGTGGTACGAACGACGAAACGAAAAACACATTATACGTCGTTCGTACCACACATTATATTGGTTCAGTGTATGTGTTTGATATTAATGAGTTAGGACTCCTCACAACTTGTGTCATCTTTTTTATTAAAAAATTGCTGGAAGCAAAATTGACAAATTTTAATTCAGCAATCAAATAATTATACCTTTTCAGCATTTATCCAGCAGAAATATTCTTGTTGACAAACTTTTTTTGGGCTTTTCTTTGTCAACAAATATACTGGAAATATACTGAAAGGTATAATTATTTGGTTTTTGAACTCAGTTCCAGTTGTGTTACATTTTTAAATTTGTGATTTAGCATTTTTTTGGGAAATATTACTCTCCCTTTCTCTTTTTCTTCCCTATCAATAAAAGTTTTTCAAAGCAGGATTTGTTCAGGTGCAATATCCCATTTTACATAACTAAAGTAATAGCAGAAAAATTTATTCATTTACTTTAACTGTAATATTATTAATTTTTTGCTTTTACATAGATTAAGTTATCACTTGTACTATTATCTGTTCTTTTGTTTAGTTGCTATAGTCTGTCTATGGAAAGAATCAACTTGGATATTAACCAATGATCATCAGCCATTGATCACTTAGTTGTGGCAAATCACTTCTGATTTCTTCCTCATTTATTAATTAACCATGTCACTGTTGTTATAAACAGTGTTACAAAAGCTTCATGTTCTGGTATTGGAATGTAAGGAAGTTCATTATAGTAGTTATTAAATGCATGTTTCTTTACAGTTAATACATGCTATAAAAAATTAACGCAATTAATGGAAAAGTCGTTCTGCCGTCTAGTGAGAGAAAATAAAATTCACACATTGCCTGACATATTAAGTGAAAAACGATTGACATTGTTAGGGAATGTGCTGATTGGTTTAACTGAAGCAACATCATGCATGACGTTGCTTTCAAGTTGATTCTTTCCATAGACATACTATAACCTATTTGTAGCTTCCTGACTTGTTTATTTCTAATTCATTATTTCTCTTCCTTCAAGATCCTTTTTTTCCCTGATGTATAGAATAGATCTCTGTTAGAAAATAAAGTATTTACTAGCTGAAAGTTTAATAAATAATATATTACATAAATACTATAGGTATGTATAAATGTGTTGTGCATACATTAATTGTTTTACTGTTATACTCATTCCATAGAATATTGTAGCCTAGATGTTACTTTAATGTGTTTATCTTTTAGGCTGCTCTTATAACTTTTACTATTTTACTTCTTGTTATGAAGAAATTAAGTTCTGTTGGAACTTATTTTTTTAAAAGCTATCAAACTTCTTTAGTTTTTGACAACTTTCACAAGTTTGATTTATATCCTATAGGCTACTTAGTCTGTTCTCTCCAGCTGTCTATTTATAAGAATGTTGTTGTTACTGTTTTAATACATTGTATTTGTTGCCTTTTACATAACTTGGAGTTACTATTCAATTAAAATGGGTTATTTTCATTCTTTTGAAGCAGGTTACAGTTTTGGCAAGTTTAATTCTCTCATTCTGTAAGATACATTTTCTTTGTTCTACAATGTATACTAAGCCAGTATTTAAATTTTTAACAATTTCTATTGCTTTTATAGGTGCTGTGTTGTAAAAGTTAGCATATTTTTTTTTTAGAAAAATCTGATTATAGGTTACCCATTTGTCCTCAACTTTTCTTAAGATTACTTAAAAACAATAGGGATCCTTTAATTTTATTTGAAAAATCAGGGATTTACAAGATTCTTCTTTGCATTTCTTCTGGTGTATTAGTAAAAATTATATAGGTGTCATTATCCACATTATTGATGCAGATGATAAATAAATTGGCCATAATCAGGAAAACGATCTAACTTAAATGAAATTAAGTATAAATATTCTATTGTTGTAATATATTCTGAAATCGTGTCATCTTTTATTTGAATAATTTGTTACTCTACTAGTGCCTATACAGACACTTGGCAATTCTGTCATGAACCTTTTATTTGGGAATTTTTTATTTGCCGAGACGCATTTTGGGCTCAAGCCCCTCTTCTGTCAGCATTACTTCCTGGGATATACTGTAGCATGACAATTGATAAATATTCTAGAACATCAATAGAATATAAAATAAATATAATTTAAGTAAATAACACACACACACACACACACACACACACACTCGAGCAAGTTCAGTTTTTTGCTTTATGATAGTGATGGAAATTTTATGATAGGTATGGATGTGATATGAAGGCAATACTGTACTTAAATTCTGAATATCTCAATTGGGCAAACAGAGATTTGAACAATTAGTATTTGGGGCAGTGTGTGTGTGTATATTATAATATAACATAATATATATATATATATATACACACACAGCTAATTTGACTTTTGGATGTAATGCATTCCTAAAAATGTGTATGAAAGTTGAATAATAGTATTACATAGTATAAAGGGAGTTTCTTCCTGTGGAAAGAAACTTCCTTTATACTATGTAATTATAATTTTATAATTTTAAAGAAAAATTATAAAATATCATATTAAGATAGGCAAGTTGTTTTTTACAGTGCATAAAATATTTAAAATCTTAAAACAGTAGATTAAACAGAAAACAGACAATAAAAATTAATTTTAACAAATGATTTTGATGTTACCAACCACAACTGAATTTTCTTTTCGGTTTTGGTATCAGTAACATCAAAACCAATGCCGTTGCATGATAGATTGAAATTTTGTTTTGTTGACCAAAAGTGCATGAATATGAATTTGACATATAAAAAGCAGTTTGGGATATTGAAATATTATTTATAAAAGAGTGAGTTGGCCAAAAGCCAAAGATTTGCCTATGTATGGTAGCCTATTGGCTTTTATGCAATGTCTTCGTTTTTTGGAATTTAAGAATGTATAATGAAAATATCTCTTTTGACACTCCTTTGATACAAGCATTTCTTAATACTAAATGATCTGCTGCATTTTTATCAGGCTACATTAAGACTATTTAATAATATGAATTAAAGCCATTTGGCTAGATGTAGGTGGTTAGGCTGCCATTTCACAATTAATTTATAATTTAATTAATTTTTGAAGACAAAGTCCTTCTCAAAAAAGAGGAACCATCATTTATTAACTTTGTGTTCTAGACATTACACTTTTGGGACTGACCTTCCCTTTTAGGCTACTTGCCACCAAATATATATCCAATTAAAAATATAAACATTTTTAAAAAAACAGGAACAGGTGATGTACGGACGTCTTCTATTCTCCATCACACCTTATTGGGGTTGTTTTGGCTTTTATCTACAACGAAATATGCACTGGTAAAATGTAGATGAGGAAAGCTGACCTCTGGTGACGATACTTTAAAATTATTTTTGTAACAAAACTAATTTATAATTATTAAATTTATTAATTTTAATTTAGAATACTCTGGAAGAAAAGTAAATGGCCAATGGTGAAAAAATAGTACACTACATTGTTTTTATCTTAGCAAAATTTTTAGTATCTTAGTATAGTATATAAGAATGTGATCAGATAGATCAGCAACCAATAAATTATCAATTAAGACCTCTTAAAAAATGGAAGAATAAGTGTTGAAAGCCACAGATTATTCTCAGAGCTGTATGTAATTCAGGTGCCTTGAACTTTTCAAAGTTTGGCAATACACATTAAATTCTCTCTTAATGAAAATTGTTCAACTCTAATAAAATAGCATAGAAATATTTTGAGTTTGGTAATAATCTAGAATTTCAAAATTTTATTTAATCTTGCAGAAATTGCTTATCTTTTGAAAA